CCTCCCTCAAGTTAAGGGAATTGCTTCTCTAGTTTAAGTTAACCATATGCTTCAATATGTTCCTGAATCAAGGTCTAAATTACTGAAGTAATCAGCTGCAGCTGTAAATATAACACAGAGCAGACATGTTTTTAAAGATTTACCATTTCAATCATTCTTCAGTGTAGAAATACATCTCAAAGTAAAAATAGACATATATGTACCAAAAAGTTGCTCAATTTCTACTCAAAATTCTTTTGGCTTGGGATCAAATACGCAAAGTTCCTTCTAGAAAGTGTAATTCCTCTATGAGTATGAAAAGAATCTAACTGTTTGTTCAACTTCAGTTGGTAACTGTGACATGTAGACCTTCCTCCAGAAAGCTGGACTCAACAGTAGTGGTCTAGTATGGCTGATACTGAGATAGGCTTTAGCTTAGAAGAAAATCTTTTTTGTGATGACCTTTGGGGATGGAAACAGAGATTGATAGGGAAATAGAGGAAAAAGACAGTGATAACACTCACTGTTTTGGTTTGCCTCAAGAGGGACACGACTGTCTCCGTATGGACATATGGACATGCAGGTTTCCTTGTCAAGAAAGAAGGCAGAACAGCTATAATTAACTTTTCACATCTCTTAAGAATGTGAGAAAGCAAATAAAAAAACCCAAACCCTCTTGTGCATAGACTGCCGAATGGTCACCCTACCAGGTCAATGGGCAGAGGCAGAGCCCCCCACTGAACGTCACCTCAGCCTAACAATCACAGAGGCCTCTTCAGAACTGCTGGAGCAGTTTGACAACTGCTAGGAGCGACTGCAATCCATGCCCAAAACCTGAAGGCCAATTCCAATTCCAAATTTTTTTTAAAAAGTTTTAAGGCACTTCCAGTTAGGACCAGATGCAATGGACACAAAACGGATGCCGGGAAATTTCAATTAGACACCGGTAAAAATTGCTTATTTCGACTGCTACAGGAACAGATTGCTTAGACAGGCATTGGTATCTCCAACCTCAGATGTGCTTGAAACTTGACTAGAGAAGTGTCTAAACAACCTGCTCTAATTAGTCTTGCTCTGAGCAGGAGGTTGGACCACATGACCTCTAAAGGTGCCTTCCAACCTGAATTGTCCTATGATTCCATGAAATAACTGTTAGGTCTGGGCTATCCTCCAGTTCAAAGGTATTAGAAGTAATGTGGGAAGCAGGACTATTACAATTTTCCTGGAAAGAAGAATGTTGAAGGTTGACTACAATCCTAAATCTTGGAGGGGCAGGTGTTCTGTATTTATGACTGTAGTCACATTAGTCACACAGCTGTTGGCAAGTCATATAACTTATCACCTGAATACTTATTGTTTCATTTCCATCAGCTGGAGCTAGCATGTTCGTCCTAATGGAAATCAAATTTTAAAAGTCTCTTTTATAAAAACAGATGTGTTCATGAGATTCTCAAAGCATCATTGATAACAATTCAGAAGACTGAAATCTCAAGATTAAAAGAGAGCTATTGGCATAAAAATTTCCTGGTGAACTAGACTGAATAAAACATTGTTCTGGAGGGCAGAAGCTATTTTTCTGCAATCTGGAGGATGGTAGATAGAATTTATCTCTAATTAGATAAAGATTCAAATCATCTACTGAGATTGTTGTCTGGTTACTTTTAGGTTTGTTTGTTTCCCACTGGGCTGTGTGTGGCTTGGAGACTGTCCAAATTCTTTTCTCAAAAGCTTTTCTAGGCTATTGGCTTAGGATATGGGCAAAAGAGTTCTTTCAAACACACCCTTTTCTGCTTCTTTCTGATGCACTGTGAGCCGCCCGATTTACACTGGGGCAGAGGCCAAGGCATAGGTGTCAGAGATGGCAACATCACAGATGACCGCAAAAGACGCCATTTCCTTATGTTTAAACCTACTCGTTGAAAATTCCATAACTGAAACTACACTGAGCTTCTGTTATAGTCTCACAGCTTTAAAGAGCAGTCCTGAAATGTTAGGATGTCCAGAGGTATAGACACATGTAAAAAGAAATGATTAATGTTTGGACATTACCAACACGTCGATATCATTCTAAGAATGCAATGCCGTCAGTGAAATACACTAGTGGAATCTCAGTAGGTTTACTTACAGAAAAAAAAAAAGAATATTATGATTGTATATGTCATTTCATAGCAAGAGTATTTAAAAACATTTAGTACAAAACTTTCTTTACCCAAATACCCCAAATACCAGGAGATAACAAACCCCAGTACATAAGCCTGGCTAGAGCAGCAAACCAGGATAGGAAGACCTGTCCCTATTACACCACCGATTTCCCTTGTGAGCGATGACAACGTACAAAACCTGTCCGTGCTTTTATTCCCCATCTCCAGAACATTTTATGCACAAATACATGGCCAAGGAATTTAGGTCATACAAAGGCAGTAATTTAGCCCTCTAGCTATCTAAATATCTAATCTGTTAATGTATTTGGCCAGATGCAGAAGAGGTGCTGATTTACCTTTCCCAGACGGTAAAAACAGAAATAGTCAGGCATTAATTTGATGACAAGGTGTTAGCCCAGCATATGACTTCAAGCATATCAGCACATACATATTGTGGGAGCAGCAACTAAGCTGAACAATGTTCAGTTTAACATGATCTTTTCTGTATAATAATGATGTGAAAAATAGTCCTCCAGCGTGTTTGTTGGTTCCAGTAATTGAGTGAAACATTGTGTGGTACATACTCAATTATGCAGAAATTAGGATGCAACTGCCAATCTGTGCTAATTATTTTTCTTACAGTTCTATTTATCTGATCTGTGCTGATTTCTTGGGGTCTATAATTTATGATTATTCTTGAGACTAAACAACACTGAGATGATGCTGAGGCTGCGGTAATGCTAGACCCTTCTCCCAAACAGTCATAAAGAGATTAAATCCACCATAGGTCTATCTATTACAGGGTTTTAAATAACATTCTGAGAATCTTCTACTGCAAGTTGCATCTATGCTGAGGCATTGCTTTTAGTACATTTACCTGAACCGAGCTTAAATCCTAACCTGCCTTTCATCCAGTTGGGTGACTCAGCTCAGCATTTTTGTTAAAGAAAAAGGAAATCCAGTGCCTTTCCGAAACATGCCATCTTGGTGTTCAACTACATAATCCTTTTGTCTGAGAAGAAGAGCTCAAGTATATTTCAGAAAGATCATATTTTTCATTTGGCTTATGGAACACTTATAAACTGGGACTCCTAACTGTGATTCCCAAACACAAAACAAAGTCAAAGGTTACAGCATATGTTTCTGTTTCTGCTTCTCCAAATTACTTGCAAATGTATTCAAACACAATATGAGGAGATACTTTATTTTATTGAAAATAACAGACTACAGGGTGCTGCAAGAAAAGCTGAGGTACCTCAAGCATAAACATGGAAAGAATATATTGGTTTAGAAACCCATAAATCCTTATTTGAATCTGCCAACCTGAAAGCCAAGTAAAGCCCGAAAAAACTATTTTTCCTAAATGCTATGTCTGATTAAGCCATACTATTAAATGACAGCTGAACTTTAACATTAATATGATATTATTTAAATAACTGCAAGATTTTTTTTTACACTAAAATGATGAATGATTTTTGGACAGCTCAATTGACATAAAGCAAGAAACCCCTTTAATGAGATTTGACAAAATGGAGACATATGCAGAATATTCGTTACAGCTCATGTCGCAGAGCCCTTCCTGGGGAGACTTGGGTTTGGTTGTGTCTTTTCTTTCGTTCATTTTTTTTATAGTTTATTTTGATTGTCTACAGGCACTGAACCATCCCTTTCAATTGCCACTTCCTTTCTCCATGGATTTTGAATTTAGCTTGTGTCATTTACATATTACTCTTAATCAGAGAATTTTATATGTTACAGTTTGCAGTTGGAATTGTAAGAAATCTGTGGAATGAAGGCATGAGGTTCAGTCATTTTAACCTTTGTCAACTGGGTGTACAAGGAACTAAGAAAGATATTTTTCTGAGGAGACTAAAGAACAACCTACTAAATTCTGGTTTTGATATTTTCCAAGTCAAGCGACAAATCAAAAACTTTGCTAAAATCTCCTCATATTTTTTTCTTTTTTTATAATAGGCAAATTGCATTAAGCAAATATGCAACATAAAAGCCCATGGCAAGGGCAATTTCATACTGAATACTTGTGGGGATGCTCTAAACTCCTTCAAAACTGTGTTTTAAAGGCATAGCATCAAACACCATCTACTAGAGGGAAGCTTTTCCTCTTCAGGAAGCTGAATATATACAGAAATATAGACATCGCAGAGAAGATCAGGTGCTGTTTCACCAGGTAATAAACACATGTTCAAAGATGGCACAAATTTCAAAAATGTGTCTGTGACGGTAACGATGTAAATTTAGGGTGGGTAATAATCACTGGATAACTCCCCTCCTGCAGTCCCATGCAGATTTTTAGGATGTTGCACATTTTTCCTTTCTGTATCACCTCACTTTAATCCCAGGGATAATTTTCACAACATTGGAAACATGGAAGAAATATGCAAAACCCACAACGTTTGACAACCTGTTTGCCCCATCTATTCAGGCAGAATTGTTCCTCTTAATCTTTTCTCTGAGTGTAAAAGTATGATGCCCCAAAACATTTACAAACTTTCTCACATAAAACTTAACAGGTAAAAAAAACCCCCTGAAAACTCTGAAATCACTCAAGAACAAGGAACACAGGAACTCATCATTAAAAAGCTTGATTTTGGAATACACACACAAAACATCACAAATATAAAGAAACAAAGATGAGAAATGATTTAGCAAGGGGTAATGCCTCAGGCTACTGAAAATTCTTTCCACGGCTGTGACAAAGCCTTCTACCTAACCAGGCCTTCTTCACCACCCGCATTCACTTAAAGATATTTTACACAGCAGCCTGTGTAAAAAATGCTGAGGTTGAATTAAAAAAAGAAAAGGCATGGAGAGAGGGAGAGAGGAAAAAAAAGAAAGAGCAGAAGTGTCCCTACCTTGGCCTTACCTTCGCAACATTCCCGTCAAAATCCTGGAACTCTTCCCCAGGTTTGCATCTGTTTCTCTGAGCTGGGGAGAAAAGAGTCCCATTAAAGGCACGAGATGCATGTACTCCTTTCTGTACAGAGGACCGATATCACGGATCATGGAATGGTTAAGGTTGGAAGGGACCTTGAAGATCATCTAGTTCCAAGCACCCTGCTGTGGGCAGGGACACCTCTCTCCCACTAGACCAGGATGCTTCAAGCCCTGTCCAACCTGGACTTGAACACTTCCAGGGTTAGGGCATCCAAAACCTCCTCAGTCAACCTGTGCCAGTGCTTCACCACTCTCATGGTGAATCATTTCTTCCTTATATCTAACCTAAATCTACCCTCTTGCAGCTTCAGGCCATTGCCACTTGTCCCATCACCACAGGCCCTTGTAAAAAGCCCTTCCCTAGCTTTCCTGTAGGCCCCTTTCATGTTTTGGAAGGCCGCTACTAGGTCACCCTGGAGCCTTCTCTTCTCTGGGCTGAACAAGCCAGGCTCCCTCAGCCTGTCCTCACAGCAGAGGTTCTCCAACCCTCTAATCATGTGCGTGGCCCTGTATTTTTACTGTCATTTGAGTCAGTCAGCTTCAGCTTGGCCCACAGCAAACTCTCATGTAAGGAAGTCACTAAAGCCCTGAAATTTAAAACTGGTTTTCACTTAGGTAAGGATGAAACCCATGGAAGATAAGACACTGGGGGAACAAAGATGAATGGGGGATAAAGAGCAAAAGCTTTACAAATGGAACGGTTGCAAGCAGGAGCGGTATCATTGGTATCCAGAACATCCGTTGATGTGTGTATGAAGGGATAAAGAGACAGCCATGTGCTGTGCTCTGATGCTTTACGAAAGGAAAACCAAATTTTTTTTTTCTTCATTGTTTTTCAAAGACAGTAGTTTTAAGAGAAAGCATTAACACAAATCAGTATCCTTTTACCCATTTGCCTATACTGTCTCTTAAATACAAAACTTGTACTGACCTTACAGAAGCCACCACTGGGATGGATGCCTGAATACCTTCAAGAGTATATAGTATGTACATAAGACACAATATATATTCTTGCATGTAAGGATAACTCACTCACTGAAAATAACTCCTTTAGTAGTTTAGGAAACCTGTATTTACAGTTAAACTTAATAGGCTGACTTGTTCTATAGCTCTCAAAAATCTTGTGAAATAAATAAAAGCATAACCGAATAAAAAAATAAATTGGGGAGGTGAAAATTTATGAAGAAAATTATTTTTATACTAACAAAGAGCAACTGCTTCCATTGTTTAAAAGTGATTAAAACATTCTTTGTATTTTTGTGCTTACTAGTCTCTCACAAAACTGTCTAGAAATGAAGAAGTGTATCAGAAGAACAGAGTTACAATCCTACTGCCTCTTTTGCACTGATAGCTGAAGAATGACATCTTGGGACTTTTGACAGATCTTGGAGGCAGTGGGACAGTAAAATCTACTGTAAATGATCATGTAACGATTGTCAGTTACGAAATAGCAGGAACATGCCCCAAAACACAGCTGCACGTACATACGTAAAAACATTCTTCTCCTATGAAAGCTGAATATTTACCTCTTCATTATCAAATCAGATTGCAAGGATTATCTGACTCTGTGACTTCTTACTAAAGAAACTTCGTGATGTAAGACAAAATCCATCCTGTGTTATAAATCCATCAAAACAGTAACGCTGCCAAGAAAAGTGGCAGTCTTCCAACAATAAATCACCTTCACCATAACAAACCACTATTATATGCACAGCATATATGTGAATATATGCACAGCAGCAATATTAAAATCAGTTTCTGTTCTGGAGCCAAATACTGTAAATATTCACTACCAGATTTCATGTTTATTATTGAAATCAGTATCCACAATCAGCGACACATAACCTTTTTGCATCAATTTCCTCCCTGTTCTTGTTAAAAGTATTAAGAAAATAGCAAGTAGAAGCTGGGACTGGATAACAGCAACCAAGACTTGCTCTCAGCAATACCATATTCAGTGGGAAGGCTTGCACTGACTCTCAGATCTCTGTAATTATGTGCTATGATGGAACAAAGATGAACGTTATATTCCAGGGAGGCCGTTCCCTCATTTTTTCTTGATTCATCTAGACAATTCAAACTCCAGAAAAGCAGTTTAGCCCAGTTTGACACAAGTAACAGAAGAAAAAACGTCACAATAATTTTTAAAAGGCTCATTAAAAAGCCAAGTTCTTTTCTATGCTAGAAGGGAATCTGAAGTACAAATGTATGCTTTACATTGGTCTTTTATTATTCATAAAGATGCATTTAACACTTGGGGCTTCTCCTCCCTTTTCACAGAAAAGTAGCTCTCTCCTTTTTACCATTATATGTTTGATCCTAACTTCCCTCTCTTGCTGCAGGTTTCTACCTGACAGCTAGAATCAGTACTGATAGTTAGGAAGGGAGAGCTGAATCTTAGAGGTTTGACAAACTCCTCTAAGCAAGACGACCTCACATTTTAATGGTAATAATAAAAACCACAAAATAAGCAAAAGAAATGTTAAAAAAGAAACAAACATGTACACACATTGTTGGAAGATCTCTAGCTATCTCCCAAGAGAGCACTAAAAAAACCACAGTTTTTTTTTTCCTGCACTGGCAGAAAAAACAACATAAAGAGTTTCAAACTGTAGGTTTGTTTTTATTTAAAACTGAAAAAATATCTCACTGTAGTTCTTCCATCATTTCTTTATCGATATCAGTGTACTGCAGAAGCCAAAGAATGGGTGACATGCAGACCTGTTAAATGGTACAGAAAGGCACCTCCTTGTGTCACAGAACTGGGGTAGTGAAAACATCCTGACATATGCTTTGGTATTAGCAATGGCAAATCTACATGGTGTTTACAAAAGCTTTTAAAAATAATATTAAGAACAATAATGAGAAAGCAAGTTAAGTAAGATGTTGACATTGACATCTTGTCTGCCTGAGGCATAATTTAATTTGAGGTGTTCCTAAAAAAATGTTGCATTTTTTGAGTCCTGTATAGTCCAGTTAACCTACTTGACTTGTAGCAAAGCTTTTAGCACCCTACTTTGACTTAAAAAAAGTTTTATTCTACAGACAGGAAAACTCATATATATAAATTTAAACAAACTAAAGAGACACTAACTCATTTAAATTTCAATATTTTCACAATATTGAACTGCTAGGAACTGACCATCATATTCAAGTTAACCTCTGAATTTCAGAAGACAGGATTGTTCCCTGATTAGTAAGACAATAATGCCATGTACTCAGTGTAAAGCTATTATGCATTGATAGAGCGCTCTTTGTCCTGGCCTTTAAAAAAAATCTCTAGAAAATGGAAAACTTATCAAGTTATCAAAAATCATCTCTGACTGTACATGTGAATATACAGACAGCTGGGACAAGTCCACTCATGTGCCTCCACTGGAGAACTTTTCCAAATTCCCTAAACAAAATGTTCCAAGTGACAAAAACTTGGAACTTGACATCTTCCATCTAGGACAAGTGGTTCTTCACTGCACTGTGGTGGGATACGCTTTCCTAGAATATCTTTACTTTTAATCTTGCTTCTTGCAATTTACAGTTCTGCCATCAAAGAAATTTGCTCTTCAGGTGGAAAGCACAGAAAAGAATTACTCTCTTTCTCTTTCCTGAGGATTCTTTGGATCAGCAGAAAGGGATAAACGTTATTCATCTCCATCGCCTAGTTTTTACTTGTCCAACTAGAAAATAAAAAGGCTCTCAGACTCAGCAGTCACCAGGGATGTGAGGAGCTGAGGTAAAACAAAAGGCAAAGTTGCCTGGACAACACCTTGTAACTGCTCACAGTGCTTAGGCACATTTAATGATTTAGTTATACTTAATGTTTTAAAGTAGCTAATACCCAGGATTTCAGAAAGCAGCCGGTACTGCTGACAGAAAATGCCTCATTAAAGCCGTCACATGAGGCTTCACCAATCGAAGCTATTCAGGTAAAGAAACTCCCTGGGACCAGTCAAGGAGTTTTCTGAAGTGGCACTGGCCGTCTTGAGGCCTGTGGGAGGACTTAGCTTTGGCAAAACTGGGCACTCAGGAAAGTATCTGATCAACATGTCATGAGCAGAAAGGCACAAGTGCAGTCACTCCTGGCTCTGTGAGCAGAAGCCAGAACCAGAGAGGCCAATTTCTTAGGCTGAACTTCAGAGAAGTTGTATGTGTTGGATGGGATGGGCTTCTGAGTATCATCATTAGCTCTGCAGAGTAGACAACAACTCTATGGAGGCAACATAAGCCAAAAATGAAGCCACTACCTGTTCTTTCACATGGAATTGCCCAAGGACACAACCATCAACATCTGCAGCTACAAAGAGAAAGGTTGATCAGCTATTAGAAGCTCGGCCACGATACTGAACTTCTGCTTCATAGAAAGCCCAAGAGTCACTGCAATGGACAAACCCTTCAAAGGACAGAAAATTGACCTAACTATGATGTTAGTGACAGCAAACTTGCTCCCAACAGCAGATTTGGTGCCTTCAGGAGAGCTTTTGAAGGATTGGGCCCATATACGACACTTTTTAAATGCTTCACTGCAGATGGTGATTGTCTCATGACAGCAACTGATTTATATAAAACTGATCAATATACTTGCATTATTTTTGCATGCAGAGAGAACCTGCCCAAAGCAAATAAAATCTGAGATCAGCAATTACTTATTATCAAACTTACCCTTTCCCGAGCACGCTGGATCTTCTCTCTGTCATGGCTGAGGTTTTCCAGCATCTCCTGTCCAATCTGCTCTGCATTAAAAAATCAAAATGTAAATCATGAAAAACAGAGCTTGTAACTGCAAGGCCTCAAAATGCCAGGTTAGACTGTAACAATGGCTTTTAATACATGTGGTAGCCTAATCACTCCTCCTAACTGCAAAGAGGAAGACATCATTACACTAAATTTTAAGTTTTTCAAGCAATGTAAAACTGAAGTAACAACCAAACCAGAAGTTGTCCCTTTGCAGTCTCTTGAGGTTGTCTAAGCCCTGGGAATTGAGCAGAGCTTTGGTCTGTGAAACAAAGGCAAGCAGACTTCCAGACTTGCTCTAAGTGCTGGGTGTTCACACCTCCCACACGCTCCCTAAGCCCACTCCTTGTCTTAGGAAGGAAGTCAGGAAGCCTTTGCTAGAACACCAGCCATCCTTATACCTCCAAAGACAGGGATAAGTCATATGAGAAGAAAACCACTCCGTGCCTCCCAGTATTTAACACTGATGCTTAAACAAAAGCAATTTTAGGCTAAGCCCAGCTACTGGTGTCTGTTATGTTCCATCATGAACTGTTTCTTGCCAACTTAGAGATACGCTGTAATGGATCTCCTGGTGGTTTTAATAGCAGACACATACATTAATTTATTGTCATCACTGGTTGTTTACACAGGGGTTGTTTGCTTCCACAGCTTATGCTGAACCAAAGATTGCAAAATTATAGTGGAGAGGCCTCAAGATATGGTACAAAGACGACACAAGATGCCAAAACTTTACTCTTCAAACAGCTTCAGTCAAATGCTCCTCTAACACTGAAATATTAGCAGCGAGTATAGAGAAGAGATTTTAATCTTCAAAGCTCTATAGAAACATTAAGAAACTCTCCCTGTATTTCCCCGAAGGAGAAAAATAAGTTAAATCATTCCCATTTTACAGATGGGGAAACAGAGAGAAGGAGCTGAAGCAGCTGTAGCTCGCCTCAGGACACACAGCACGTGTGAGACAACCAGCATTTCTCTGCACATTCATTTAGGCTACTTAGCTAGCTTGCTGGAGATACACACTAAAACTGAGTAAAACTACAAAAATGTGATTTTTTTTCATAAACAACAAAAATCATGCTGTGCAGTTCTTCTGGTGAATGAGCGGGATCTAAAAATGTCATTATTTAAGAAGCCTCCAGAAAACTAATCTTTAACAATTCACCAATATGTTAGCAGAGCAAACATGACTATTCTTATTTTTTCAATAGATACACCCTATTTTCAGGAAACAATCTAATGCAGAACCACCTCAAACTTTAAGAATTTGAGACAAGCAAATTTCCTTCTAAATCTATTTAACACAAGGTACATACTCTGCCAGATGAAGTCTGAGGAAATTCATTACATACATATTTCTCTATTTGTTGCCAAGTACAGTACAAGTAAGATAAATATTTCCTCAGATATCTGACCACAAATTGACATCCTCATTATGCTATCTTGTCCCTCTTGCCTTGCTGCTCTTTACTTTTAGCTGTATATACAATGCCTCCCAAAGGTGAAATGTGGTAAGATATGTGGTTACTGAGTTGAAAAAGCTGTAAGGTGCACTACGGCTGCACAAATGGCAGCCTAAGACAGCAATTCGAGAGAGCTTTGCCTATGTTTGCATGTCAAAGGACTTACTGGATGAAACTATACTGAGCTTTTTCCTCATCAAAGCACTCAAAATACTGTAATACACAGATACATGCATTCAATGTAATCTGGGGGAGAAAAAACAAAGCAAAATCCCTTAAAAACAGAGAGGAAAAAAGTCTACAAATTACTAACCGAGTAGCACGAGGTGAAATGAAAACAAGTATTCATTTCTAAAAATTATATGTATGTTTGCACAGACATAAAGGAGTGCGAGGAGCAGATTTTCCTTCAAAGGAATAACTATAAAGTAAATGGCTAAAATGGATTGGTATTTCATAAACAAAGCTCAAAAATATCTTTATAGGAAAGAGCTCTATTTTTATTACACCAATTTTAAGCAAGTTACTGTGTGTTTTTTTTCATCTTCTTCCTGTCACTGGCAAGTTCACACTCTTAGCTTTTTATAATGATTGAGTTTATTTTCCAACCATCAATGTGACAGCAGCATCAACTGTAAGTGAGGGTAAAACACCATCACTTTGACGAATAGTGTATTTTCCTCTCATTGTTGATGACTGAAGACATCAATAAATAAGGAAGGAGAGCATGTCAGCCAGAATATCACAGAATGAATTGTTGATATGACACTTAGGGATTAAACCTTCAGCCATGAAGTTCAACCTAGCAGAGGGGTCTGAGAACTGAGATAGTTGCGTTTCTTCCCAGCAGCCTCTATAGATAAATAATTGGACGGATCATCAATTTTACAGGAGCAGCTTTACTCTACATGCACTTTAGTTGATGATCTTTGGCCTTTTTTGGGCTACAATAACAACGTAAGTTGAACAAAGAGACAAAACGGAGGTAACATAATCTCACAATAAGTTTGCAAACATAAATTGACACCTTTATCCACAGATCCTGTTCATATCCTTGTTCTACTCAGAAAAGTCACTGATGACAGTGAAACTTGATTTTGAGCTGGAAGGTCAAGACAGTCAAACAAAAATATTAATAAAGAAAAAAATACAGATTTATAAATGATATGAAGACCTGTCTCCTCGCTTGGTTTGCAACTGAAGATGCCCGGGACTGGAAAAAAAAGTCACATTAGCCCACAGTACAGCTAATTACAAGCCTGATATCCTTGCTATCTGCTTGCTATCATTTTCCAAGTTTCTCCAAGACTCTGCCAGTTAAAATCTTCATCGATGTGGCACATTCCTACTTTTAGTGCAACGGTGTTGTATAGACCTTATCAGACTACTTGTAATGCAAATCATTGACGATGTTATTATAGTTATGTGAAAAGGTCAGGTGTCTAAGATATACTGTAGTGTAGATGCATGAATTAAGACCAATACGCAAACTGAAGGGTGTTGCATGTTGCCAGTAATAGTGTTATCTCCACAGAATCTTAACAATGCCAATTATTTGGGAATTATCCCATCCTTTTAGTCGACACGTACAGGCAATGTTTGGTAGAGTGCAGTCCCAAGTCCTAAAACAGACTGCGTGGTGCTGCCTGTTCTACCTGAAATTCCCAAAGAGATGCATAAAATTATGTTCTAAAATTACACCTAAACTAGGCGAAGCAGAAGGGTGAATGCATTTACATCATTATTATCTATGTACTAGCACAGGGCAGGAATATTCAATATAGCAATTATCTCAGTCTTAAACAATGCTGTGATGAACAGAAAAAAAAAATCTGAAAAAGTACATAACTTAATGCTAACAAGCATCAGCCTTAAAAGGTGATTGCTAAATTTCATAGCTCTAAATATATTCTGCCTTAAAGGTGTTTGAACAGCATATAGGAAATCAGCCTCTTCAGCGCTGAGCCTTTTAATAATTATAAGTTGTGGATCCAACACAAATGATGCCTGGTTCTATAAGACTGTGTTATGCAAATAAAGTGTAACATTTCTTATCCTAAAATACTGAAACTAATTAGAACATTGAAGACGCTTTCCACAACTGAAGAAAAAGCAAAACCCCAAAAAACCAAATGCAAACTCATTCATGTGTGCAAAATTGGCACATGGTTTTCAACTTTTATGCTGAGATAAACCCAAAATACAATGAACACTTCTAGCGATGCTTTACACTCCTGAATATGCCCATACTTTGGAATTTGTCTGTAACCTATATGCAGTATTTATTTATACATGCAAATCATTATTATTTAATACATGTTCCACAAAGCTTGATTTCTAATACCTACACACATATCAAGGACACAGAATAAGTTGTGCTTGACTGGTTTTTATTTTCCTTTTTTTTTGCCAGCAGCCATTTAAGTATTTATTTACTTTATCAGCTAAACTGATTCTGAAAGACCTTTTTCTAATCATTCAAGTCAATAATACTTTTTTCCTTAAGAATGAGTAATGTATTTACTCAAGAGACATGAATGATACGGAATGAGCCTCTCCAGGCTTTTGGATAAACAAACATGCATTTTTATGAATTCTGAAGACAGAGTCCCCATTTTTCTTTTCATATGAAAAATAAAAGAATCCAAGATGGTTTATACAGCACTTTTCCTCTCAAAGTATACCCTGCATATGTATATATATAAATACATATAAATACATTTCAGGAGAGGCAGCAGATATCTTGGCATGGTTTAAAACATAAAAAAGGCTTAAGTCCAATGTACGATGCACACATCTATGTAATCAGAGGTGGGAAAAGACAAACTAATTTACACCAGAAAAAGCAGAAGATAGTGTTAAAAATCATAGAATCACAGAACGGTTTGGGTTGGAAGGAACATTTAAGATTACTAGTGCCAACCCCCTGCCATGGGCAGGGACACCTCTCACTAGCCCAGGTTGCTCAAAGCCCCCTCCAATCCGGCCTTGGACACTTCCAGGGAGGGGGCAATCGAGATGTCTGCCCTACAGAATCATGAAGTAAACTCAAAAATCCCACTGTGTGTTCTGCAAGGAGGAATCAGAGTAGGATTTCACCCTGCGATCCTCAGCCTTGTCTAGTGAATTACACCATTTGGGGAGCACAATTCTGTCTTGTTTTACCCAGAGACATCACAAGCTCTGAAGATGTAGCAGAAGCTACAAGATTTTTTGAGAACAACTATGCCGACATGGGCAGAAACTCAGTAAGCAGCAAACAACGCTGGGCCACTTTTTGTCCAAAAGTCACTCTGTTTTGAACAGGTTAAAAGTTTAGATTTTGGGAGACTAAGAGAGATAAATCATCAACAGCAGTTTTTGGAAAAAAATGCTAGAAAGCGTTAAATGCTGGCTTTTCAGAGATGACAGCAAGCAGATTTACAAACTTGGAAAATATATCTTACAGGAGTTGAAGAATTCAGGGCTGAGTCAAATGCTTTATGCTTCTGACAGCAGAAAGTTAATAAAGAAAGTGATGACATATCTTTAAGTGT